TATGTGACGCTAACACTTTACCTTTTGCATCACAAAGTCTGTTTAAAATGTTCTGATGAAGTCAGTGGGCTTCAAAAGTTCATGAAATGTTGAAGCTACACTGAGAAATTTACTGTTGAATTTACTCATGTTATGTCTACTGTTTGAACCTACCGGTAGTTACTAATGTGAAGAATAATATACATTGCTAATATGTTAAAAGCAAATGTATATTAGTCTCTACATTTAAGCAACTAGGTTTAGTTGAAACAGACATTAAGTTCAACATTTTATTTCTTATAGTGTAGGTTATTGTGCAGTTTCCTTCTGAGGATCAAACACAATTTGCACCTTTCTGCCTAGATGTATCCTCATTAAAAAAACATACAGCAAAATGCAACAAAGTTGGAACAAGTTGTTAAAGAGGATCCTTGTCTTGTTTTGTATGACAAGAGACAAACGCTGCTCAGGTTACTGAATTTATCCTCACAGGTTTGTCTTATGAGTGCATCTATAAAATTTCTAATGAATCTCTCTCCCAGACTGTGCATGTTGGAGCAATTGTCATTGTTTGGATGCACCGTGCAAATATATTATCTACAAGACAGAATTATGCAAATAGAAGGCAGCAGATGTACAGATGTCACCTCGAGAAAAACAAGGGAGGGCAATAGGAATGCTAAATAGTAAAGAACAACCTTACTAAGCAACCATTTTTTAATATCATGTAATAGAATTACTTCCTTATGAATAGATTACACCTAATTTAGGGGGAAATGTTTTAGCTAAAATCTGGTAAAACTCTGGGAAAGAGGAAACTATTATTAGTTCAGGTATTTATTTATGTGGTTGGGTCAGAAAAGAAGTGACACGTTTTAAGTACTCGTCGTCGTCGTTTTCCTCCGCTTATCCGGGTCCGGGTCGCGGGGGCAGCATCCCAAATAGGGAGCTCCAGACAGTCCTCTCCCCAACCACCTCCACCAGCTCCTCCAACAGGACCCCAAGGCGTTCCCAGACCAGATTGGAGATGTAACCTCTCCAACGTGTCCTGGGTCGACCCGGGGGCCTCCTGCCGGCAGGACATGCCCAAAACACCTCCCCAGGGAGGCGTCCAGGAGGCATCCTAACCAGATGCCCAAACCACCTCAACTGACTCCTTTCGATCCAGAGGAGCAGCGGATCTACTCCGAGTCCCTCCCGAATGTCCGAGCTCCTCACCCTATCTCTAAGGCTCTAATCTCTAAACAGTGTGAGCGAGTTGCTGCCTGACTCTCCTGAGGCACCGGTCAGTTTGCCAGAGCCTCTTTGGCGCCGATCGATAGTCTTTCTCCATGGCCTTACCAAACTCCTCCCACGCCCGAGATTTTTGCCTCGGCAACTGCCACTGCTGCACCCCGCTTGGCTATCTAGTACCCGGCTGCTGCCTCCGGAGACCCACAGACCAGCCATGCCCTGCAGGCCTCCTTCTTCAGCCTGACGGCTCTTCGAGCCTCTGGTGTCCACCAGTGGGTACAGGGGTTGCAACCACGACTGGCACCGGCCACCTTGTGACCACAGCTAGCAACAGCCGCCTCAACTATTGCAGAGTGGAACAAGGCCCACTCGGAGTCCATGCCCCCCACTGCTCTTGGGACGCGTTCAATGCTCTGCCAGAGGTGGGAGTTGAAGACCGTCTTGACAGGTTCTTCTGCCAGGCGTTCCCAGCAGATCCTCAACATGCGTTTGGGTCTGCCAGGTTTACGCGGCATGTTCCCCTGCCATCTGATCCAACTCACCACCAGGTGATGATCAGTTGACAGCTCCGCTCCTCTCTTTACTTGGGTGTCCAAAGCATATGGCCGCAGGTCAGATGATACGACTACAAAGTCTATCATCGGCCTGCGACCTAGGCTGCCCTGGTACCAAGTGTACTGATGGGCATCCTTATGTTCGAACATGGTGTTCATTATGGCCAAACTGCGGCTTGCACAGAAGTCCAATAACAAAACACCACTCCAGTTCAGATCAGGCGGGCCATTCCTCCCAATCACACCCCTCCAGGTCATGCTGTCATTGCCCACGTGAGCATTGAAGTCCCCCAGCAGGGTAAAGGAGTCCTCTGATGGAGCACTATCTAGCACTCGTCCCAGGGACTCCAAAAAGGTTGGGTAATCTGAACTGATATTTGGCGCATAAGTACAAACAACAGTCAGTACCCGTTTCCCGATCCGAAGGTGCAGGGAAGCTACCCTCTCGTCCCCCAGGGTAAACCCCAACACACAGACAGAGAGTCTTGGGGCTAACAAAAAGCCAACCCCAGCCCTCCACCTCTCACCCGGAGCAACTCCAGCAAAGGAGAGTGTCCAACTCCTCTCAAGGACTTGGGTTCCAGAGCCAATGCTATGTGTCGAGGTGAGTCCGACTACATCTAGCCGGTACCGCTCAACCTCTGCCACAAGCTCCTGCTCCTTCCCCGCCAGCGAGGTGACGTTCCATGTCCCAATAACCAGTTTCCTTGTCCGGGGATTGGACCGCCAAGGCTCCCGCCTCAGTCTGCCACCCGATCCACACTGCACCGGACCCTTCATGTTCTTCCTGTGGGTGGTGGGTCCACAGTTGGATGGGCCCATGTATCTGGTTCGGGCTGGGCCCGGCCGGGCCCCATGGGCGAAAGTCCGGCCACCAGGTGCTCTCACACGGGCCCCAACCCAGGTCTGGCTCCAGGGTGGGACCCCGGTAACCCTCCGGACCGGGTACTCCGACTCTTTGTTTTTACGCCCATGAAGTTTTAAATGCTGTGATTTGTTTCTAAATACTGACCTGTTGCCATTCAAAATGTAATAAATAGATAAGATACAATGAACGCCATGATCTCAGCAGCCTTTGTGAAAACAATTTTAAGCAAACACTTACAGTAAGTTGAATTTCTTACATTTTATGGAAAATGATCATTAAAAGTTAAAATTTCCTGAGTATCAGATCTGTTGTTTTATTTTAAAGAGCAGGTCACCCCCAAATAAACTTTTTTGCTGATAAACTAAATAAACGAGTGTCTAATCGTGCTGCAGAAACGTGTAGTCAATAATTTGGCACTTCAGTGCATCTTAGTTAAAATTTAAATATTCTGCCTAAAACTGGCAGTGTTGTGCCATTGTCAGGTAAAAACTCTGCACTCTTTAAATGTGTTGCTCGTGAGATAAGTCTTCATAAGCTTTTTAATTAATTATCAGTGCAGGCTGATTTGTTTATTCATGACAAAAGTTTCTTAATAATTAGTGAATAAGTTTCCAGGAAAACTTCTAAATTAAAAATACACACAAGATGTAACCCCTGATTTCTCACGGTTACCATCACTTCTCTGCAAAATCTTTAGCATCTTCAGTTGCTTGCACTGCAGCATCTGTTCCTCTCACAGCTTGTCTTCTTTTTCAAGTTTTGCATCTTTTTATTCCCCCCTCCATCAGTTAATATGCCCCTTTGACAGTCTGTCTTTTGTCTCTCTCTTAGGATAAAGTTCAGCTGTCAGTTTTTGGTATCAGATGTTGCAAAACCTTTTTTTAAAGAACATCAACTAAACCTTAGATCACATAAGCTGTTTATTTCAGGCCAATTATAAGTTTTAGACACGGCTGTTTTTTGTTTTTTTATCTCCCATCACTTGCCAACAGAGTACCACTTTACGAGCAACAATGAAAGCTAATCATCAATCTTTCTGACAGCAGCACTGTTGAACTGTGTGTTAACTGAAATCTCACAGTAACACAACGTGTAACCTGCTTCTGTTTCTTGCAACATGTATAATTTATAACATGTCAAGCTGCAGGGGCACAGTGCATGCTCGACCTCAGCTGGGGATGTGGTTTTTTTTTTTGTTTAAACGTATCTTTGACCATTTCTATGTATAAGTGTCAGTCCTAGACCTTTGCTTGCACCCAGCAAGATGAATAACAAGAAGTCAGCTCATTGGGTGTTTACAGGATATGAAATTCTGCAGCTGCAGATGGTTTTATAAGTGGGTACCGCATTATGTGGAAGCCTAAGAGGTAAACTGATATTTTGTCAAGGGTGCTTGCACAGTCAACAATGTTGCACAGGCATTTATTACTCTTGCTTCAGCTTTTGACTTCCTCTATTCTAAATCATGAAGTTATATGTTTGTTAGAGGCTAAAACCAACCACTGAGCTGGGTTGTGATGAATTTGTTTATTTACAAAATCCCCACAAAGCTTGTGATTATAAATTTCAGAATGTCTTTATTTATTCCACCTCTGGAACGTTTCTTCAGAATATTGTTTTTGCTTTCATGCAGATCCTTTTTGAACATAACTTCGTTTTTAATAGAAAATCATATGTTTTGTTCTAATCAGAGCAGCAAAAGGATTTTATGTGTTTGTTGGCAGCTTATGCCACAGATGCCCCAGTTGTCCGTGATGTCTGGGTGATAAATCGTCTCTGTTGGCTTTAATTAGGCTGATTTTTCAAGTGTTATGTTTTGTCCTCAATGTCAGGACTAAAGTCATGGTCTGCATCATTTTACCTATAATATTGGTCTTTTAATCCCCTCCAGGACTATACGCTACAGAATAAATGATTTTTACTCTATTGGAGTCTTAAATGAATTTCAGTCTGATAATCTATCCTCATGAAAACTACTTATGCATGTCAGGTTAAATATATGGCTCCTCTCAAGCTTTTATTGCAGCCTACATCGGATGGGATAAAGGGCATCTTCCTTTGGGTTTACCTCATGTCACCCCCCACCCCCACCCGCCACCCACCCCACCCCCTCCCCCCAGCCAGCCAGCCAGCAATGATATTGGAAATTATTCAGCATCTGTGTGCACAGAGCCTGGAAGAGTAAGGATGTTACTCCCTAGCAGCTGGGTGTCACATTCAAATAAAAGTAAATTAGCTGTCACCAAGGCTCGGCTTAGGAGCCGCAGCTATGCCTCGGAGAGTATTCTTTTTCCAACGGCCTCCGTTGGAGCCGACGCAAAACAACAAGTAATTACAGCTGCAAGAAATGAAGAAGCACAACATGATTTAAGTCAAATTGCTGCCTTTATCTGGGGATGAGTTACAGCGATAGGAACATTCAATGTTGTACAGCACCAAGAATATAATTAATCACCTGCTGTTTGCAGTATGGCTTGAGAAAAAAAGTGGGACGGAACAGACATTTAGTCAGAATCTCTGCTTCACAGTTTGCCCTCATTATCTGCAGGCCACAAATGAACTGTGGGGTTTGAGTCATTACCTGCAGCAAAGCTGTAGGGACAGGACAGGTTTCTAGAAATCAGAGGGACACTGGCTGGTTTCAAAGGGCTTTTCACTACATTATAATTATGATCAAACCCTAATCTATAAATGCATTTTGGCATTAGAGGTCTGAAATTATGCTTTTTAGAGTACACATTTTTAAAAGTGGGAATGAAAACAAACATAAAAAAATGAATAAACTTGTGTGGTATTTTGGCAACCCCTGATGGCCAGACTGAGAATCGCAAGAACTATATTAAATACATAATATACATTATTTATTAAAACAATACTGAGAGGGAGATATTCTATCCTTAAAGGCCAAGTTCACTCATGTTTTCAATACATTTGCAGTGGTCTCTAGTATAAATGAATGCCTTGTGAGTCAATCTCTGTGGGAAAAAAGCTCTGGTGATCTCGTTTCAGGAACTAGAAGTGAATCAGAGCAGTGGTAAGGAGAATACCGGGAATTCTGGGGTCTTATTTCCTGATAATCAGACATCTGGCCTCTGACTGGCTCACAGCAGCACAGTTCTACCATGGACTGTTTGTTTTGCAACAATTTATCTCTACAAATAACACAAGCCTGAAAGAGTTTTGCTGTGTTGTGGAGTTGCTAAGGCTAACTATTAGCTTCTGTTAGCCGAGACATGATCTGCTCTCTCCTGGACACTGAATCAACAGACACCCTCCCTGTTGAGAGCAAAGATGGGAGAGTGCATCAATGCTAATTTGACAATGTGACATAGATCTGACTGGCTTTTATTATTGGAGTGTTACCTTGTCTACCTTCTATTAGTCGCTAATGCAAGAAATAGGGGTAAAGGACAATTTTCATGTTTAGTGCGCATTTTAAACTCATAGAAACTGATCACATTTCAAAAATAACAAGTGAACTTGGTCTTTAACTAATATGGCATTCCAAATACTTTGTACAGGTCCTTCTCAAAAAATTTGCCTATTGTGATAAAGTTCATTATTTTCTGTAATGTACTGATAAACATAAGACTTTCATATATATTAGATTCATTACACACAACTGAAGTAGTTCAAGCCTTTTATTGTTTCTAATATTGATGATTTTGGCATACAGCTCATGAAAACCCAAAATTCCCATCTAAAAAAATTAGCATATCATGAAAAGTTTCTCTAAACGAGCTATTAACCTAATCATCTGAATCAACTAATTACCTCTAAACACCTGCAAAAGATTCCTGAGGCTTATAAAAACTCCCAGCCTGGTTCATTGCTCAAAACTGTAATCATGGGTAAGACTGCCGACCTGACTGCTGTCCAGAAGGCCATCATTGACACCCTCAACAAGAGGGTAAGACACAGAAAGAAATTTCTGAACGAATAGGCTGTTCCCAGAGTGCTGAATCAAGGCACCTCAGTGGGAAGTCTGTGGGAAGGAAAAAGTGTGGCAGAAAACGCTGCACAACGAGAAGAGGTGACCGGACCCTGAGGAAGATTGTGGAGAAGGACCGATTCCAGACCTTGGGGGACCTGCGGAAGCAGTGGACTGAGTCTGGAGTAGAAACATCCAGAGCCACCGTGTACAGGTGTGTGCAGGAAATGGGCTAGGTGCCGGATTCCCCAGGTCAAGCCACTTTTGAACCAGAAACAGTGCCTGACCTGGGCATTAGAGAAGCAGCACTGGACTGTTGCTCAGTGGTCCAAAGTACTTTTTTCGAATGAAAGCAAATTTTGGATGTCATTCGGAAATCATGGTGCCAGAGTCTGGAGGAAGACTGGGCAGAGGGAAATGCCAAAATGCCCGAAGTCCAGTGTCAAGTACCCACAGTCAGTGATGGTCTGGGGTACCATGTCAGCTGCTGGTGTTGGTCCACTGTGTTTTATCAAGGGCAGGGTCAATGCAGCTAGCTATCAGGAGATTTTGGAGCACTTCATGCTTCCATCTGCTGAAAAGCTTTATGGAGATGAAGATTTCATTTTTCAGCACGACCTGGCACCTGCTCAAAGTGCCAAAACCACTGGTAAACGGTTTACTGACCATGGTATTACTGTGCTCAGTTGGCCTGCCAACTCTCCTGACCTGAACCCCATAGAGAATCTGTGGGATATTGTGAGGAGAACGTGGAGAGACGCAAGACCCAACACTCTGGACGAGCTTAAGGCCACTATCGAAGCATCCTGGGCCTCCATAACACCTCAGCAGTGCCACAGGCTGATTGCCTCCATGCCACGCCGCATTGAAGCAGTCATTTCTGCTAAAGGATTCCCGACCAAGTGTTGAGTGCATAACTGAACATAATTATTTGAAGGTTGACTTTTTTGTATTTAAAACACTTTTCTTTTATTGGTCGGATGAAATATGCTAATTTTTTGAGATAGGAATTTTGGGTTGTCATGAGCTGTATGCCAAAATCATCAATATTAGAAACAATAAAAGGCTTGAACTACTTCAGTTGTGTGTAATGAATCTAATATACATGAAAGTCTAATGTTTATCAGTACACTACAGAAAATAACGAACTTTATCACAATATGCTAATTTTTTGAGAAGAACCTGTATTTACAGCACATTGCACACAATAGAAAAACAATCTGGTTCACAGTACTACACTGCTACAATAAATCGCTGCACAGTAAACAATAAAAGTACTAATATAAAGCCAAAACACGCAGCCATAAATAAGTACAAGTACCTCTATGTGTACAAATAAAAACTTTGCTGTATATGGGATATGTAGTGTTTCAGGTAATAAATATTAACAATGCACTTAAAGGAAATACAAACAACAATTCAGTGGATCAGAGTGGCCCAGTTGATGTTCTGACAAAAAATGTGGCTGCTACTTTATTTATGTTTTTGCAGCGTTTGTATTCTATTTGAAATTTGCCATAAACATCTGAGCTCAATAACTGATCAAAAATAGATCAAACGCGTTCTTCTGAACTCTCTAAAACACTGCCCTAACTCTAACCCCAACCCCAACATGAACCGATGACGCCAAAGACTCCTAGAATAAGAAATTCTCACATCAGAGGTTTCATTTGAAATAGCTCCTCTTTGTCATTGCTGAAGAGTTTTACTTCACTGTGAACTGCAGTAGCTTTAAAGAAAATCCAAACAAGAATTTCCATAACGTCATTCATAGTGATGCACCTACCTGCTTGTCCTGACCTCCTGTGTACCTTCAGCTCTAAAAAGAAAACCACGATGATGTCAGACGGTTTCACCCATTAATCACTTGAACTGTTCATGACCAATAAATAAGGATTCATATGTTGCCATCTGGGGGGGGGGGGGGGGGGCAGAGGTTTGAGTCTAAGAGGAGGAGTCTTCATCAACAGGATGAAGAGCATGTCTCTTCAGCATTGTCTTCAGTCTCTCCACCTCCCGCTCAGCCTCTCTGAGCTTCCTGCGTAGTGTCTCATTAGCATTTTGAAGCTTCAGGTTTTCCTGAAAATAGATTAATCTGATTTTAGGAAGAAAAAAAAAGTGAAGCATTCTTAGGTCGGTGTAAATTAGGCACTCACGGATTCCAGAGATTCGTGAGGCTTTTGCAGCACAGCGGCTCGGTTCTCCCACTTGGCACAATGTTTCTTTCCAGGCACGGGGCTCGGGCAGGAGGGGAGGGTGGGTGGAACTGGGACCAACAGGGACGGCTGAGGGAGGCTGGTGTCAGCAGTGGGACAGGATAGCTGGTGTCCCTCTGTTTGGGTGTAGCTATGAACTCTTATAGGCCTCAAGCTGCAGGTGACTGGGGAATCTGGACTCCAGTCTTTCCTGGTATCCGGGGGATAAGGGAAGGGGCAATCTTCCGAACCTGAGGAGGATGTCAATAATTTATTTTCTGCTTTGTGGGTTATTTTTTTTTCTTAATGGTAGCAAATCTTGCATACACCACAACATGTCTTTTTCTGATGAAACATTTTGAAACACATCCTCTAGCCCACACGTCTTGTTTAGTGATAAGCTAGTCCTTATTTAGAAACGTCAAAAGTTCTTCTGTTCTGAATATAGCGGCTTTCTTGCAGCAGGTGGGCAGCGTGAGCATTACTGTAAGTGAAACGGTTCCTAATAGCAGCTGGAGGGAAATCACCCCGACAGGAAACGCTGCACACAAGAGTTTAGTTTAGTTTGTGGCAAACTGAACCCGGGTCACTCAAAATGTGACTTTTATCTTTATTAGTTCCTCTTTTTTTTTCTCTTTCTGTGAGTGACAGTAATTTTAGAAAATTGTGTCATTTCTGTTTTTGTAGACAAATAACTGAATTTTCTGCCAGCAGATGGCACATGCCTCATACTACTGCATGATTCAGGTGAGATTCTGTGAAAGGAGAGTGCTTGTACCGGGAAACAGCCCACCGTCTGAGGTGCTTGTGGTGACAGGCGTAGTGCTTGGCTTCGGACTCTCAATGGTGTTGGTCACTTTGGTGTTCTTCTTGCACTCGAATGCTACCTGATCCTTGCACAGCTTGTGACAGTTCATGCCGCAGTCTGCGCAGGTCAAAAGAATGCAAACAAGTCACAGCAGGAACTCGGTTTAACTTCAACAAACTGGCTTCCAACTTCTCGTTGAACACCAACCGCTCTGCAAATGCAGCTCTGAGACCTGTGCAAGCTCACAGCCAAGCAAACAAATAACTTTTCAGATCTTATGAAGGAAGGGGGAGGGGGAAATCGGTGGTTCAGAGTGCAGGCTTTTTGTCTTTTATTTCTTCCCATGCTGCAGAGTTCAGTTTGCATTTTGAAACTAAGAAAAACCACACCACATCACCTGCTCCCCACCACACCATGCAGCTACCTCTCCTTGCATGACAGTCACAGACAAGATAACACTAGAATGATAATTACCTCTGCATCTGTAGCCTTGCTTGATGACTCCCCACAGCTGTGACAATTTTGTGAGAAAAGAAAACATATTTCACTGCTTATCAAGTGAAAATTGATCTTATTTTGAATGAATACGTTTGCTTTATACTTACAAACCCAGAGCAGTTATCGCAGAAGGTGGGTTTCATGTACGTTGTCTCCTGGAAGTTGTGGACAAAACCTAAACCCAGTTTGGAGCAGATAACACTGGCACGCATGAAATACGCTGTGATCTCCTCTCTGCTCACAAGTCCTTCCCTTAAACACAAAACCACAGAATAAACTCAGAATCATTAGAAATAAAACATTTAGACCAATTCAACATTAAAAATATATTTTTTTATTCTTATTCAGTTCAATTCTATTCAATTCAATTCAAAGATACTTTATTAATCCCAGGGGGAAATCATCTAATTATCTAATTTTTATGTCCATTTGTCTTTTTCACCTGCTTACGCTCTAACTTCAGCTGCGCTGCGTTTCGTGTGAGTATTTGGAGGTCTAGTTCCTTCTGCAGCTATTTTATATTCGCTGTTGCTGTGTTCACCACTAAAAACAACACTTTGGCTTCCTCTCCTCTAAAGTCGAATTCGAGCTAAAAGTGAATGCGTAACCTGTCAAATACCCACTTCTCTTTGTCCATGACACAAAAAGAAAAGGGGAAGCTTGCAGCAATTTTCTCAAAATCTTCTTGGGAAATAAAACCGTTCTCATCGTGGTCGTAGTTCTTGAACACGGACTGTGGGAGACGAGAAGCAAACACCATTGTTACTCCAACTATAAGGAACAATAGCCATAAGAGAAGATTGGCAAAATGGCAGCATGCATAATGACGGCTAAAATTGATGATTATGGTTACATAAGGACATTACTAAAAGGCTATGCGGAGGCTACTCTTAAAAAGGAGGAAGCACTTACATCTACCATTCTCTGCACATGTTTGCTGATGGTTCGGGGATCAGGTTTAGGAGCCACTCCTGATGTCCAGTCCACACAAACTGGAGGTCTGGAAGGTGTTGCTGGCTAACAAAAAAATTAATTGGTCAGTAATTAATATGCAGGATCATTTCCAGGCAGCTAAATGTTGAAAGCTGAAAGTTGAGCATGACTTATGTAGTTGGAGTCTGTAGCTGGATTTCTCAGTGAACGGCAAATATGCCAACCTCTGTCAAAATAGCTAAACTAATATTAGTTTAAATTAACTTACTTTTTTGTAAAGAAATTAAATTAAGAGCCATTTATTGGTTTTATATGTCATCTATCGCTTCCTGAATGACTTGATTTAATTTCCCACAAGACTGATATGCTAATGGCTAGACATAGGATAGCCAAAACATGGCATGCAGTTATCCCAAAACAGCTCCAATATCCAAAATTTCGCCCTGATTCATGTGACATTTTATTTTTAATAGTTGTATTGCTGTCAATTTTTAATTATATGGTTATTAAGCAGTGTAGATTTCACCAGCAGCAGCAGCAGAATTTTGCAAATAATGCACCACTACTGGTGCATCCAGGAGTCAATACCACAGAAATGCCTTACAACTATGATATGTGAAACAGACGAGGATGTAAAATTTATAAAACAACATTTGCACTGACTGATGTTAATGAAAGTAAATGGCCTGCATTTGATATAGCGCCTTCTAGAGTCTCTGAACCCCCCAAGGCACTTTATAACACAATCAGTCATTCACCCATTCACACACACATTCACACCCTGGTGAATGAGCTGCGATGCAACCACAGCTGCCCTGGGGCGCACTGACGCCACTGGTCCCTCAGACCCCCACCACCAGCAGGCAATGGGGGTTAAGTGTCTTGCCCAAAGACACAACGACAGCGACAAACTGAGCGGAGCTCGAACCTGCAACTTTCCGATTAAGGGGCGAGCACCTAACTCACATGACTGGTTTGTAAAAGCCTTTAGTTCAGGGGTGTCAAACTCATTTTAGCTCGGGGGCCACATTGAGGGAAATCTAGTCCCAAGTGGGCCGAACCGGTAAATTAAAAACAACTTCAGACTGTTTTCTTTGTTTTAATACAATCAATATAAAACAAAGCTGGAGCCTGAGGACAGTGTATCCAAAATAGTACAAGTACAACACCTGAAGTGTACTTGAAAATTAGAACAAATAAAATAAATAAACTAAAAAAAACATTCCTAAGTGATTCAGAGCTTACAGATCACATGGCTAGATCAGTTTCATGCAGCACTTTAAGTATATTTGACTCATTTTACTTTACATCTTTTAGCTTTCACCAGCACATCAATATCAGAAGTCACATCCTGAGTCGCGGCCAACTTCAGGATGTGATTCAAGTTCTTGTGTGAGCCTTGAGCACAGCTTTGTTTTATTTATACTCATTACAGAGAAAACTTGCTCACAAAGATACGTTTAATTTCACCCTACATTGTAAAGTATGAAAATAAAGTTCACACAACCATCTCGCAGGCCGGAATTAACCCGTTTGCGGGCCGAATCCGGCCCGCGGGCCGTATATTTAACACCCCTGCTTTAGCTCATTAGCTCTGACTTATTGAAATTTTTAAACAAAAAGCCCATTTTAAAACTGACCAAGATATTAATTTAAGAGTTTTGGAGAAATTTTTATTTTTATTAACCAGGTAGCTGTTTGCTCATTTCCATCCTCAGTGATAAGGTAAGCTGACATAAATAAGCTATGAGAATCTGTATACTTATATATCCTAGTCCTTAACTGAGTATAGCTCCAAACGATTCAATTAATAAGCATTTTCTTGCAACAGTCCAACGTGTAGGGTTTAGTTTAAATTTCAAATTGGAGACAACTGAACACCACCCACCTACGCCCAAATCAAGGTAGCAAAGAAATCACAAAAGACCAATGCCAAAAACCATTATAGACTAATTCAATCCAAATAATTTGATTTGACTCTGAAATATTCATATGTATAGAGATCCCAGTATTGCTTTACTGAGGAATATTAAAAAAGCTACGAAAACAGAACTTCACTTGACGTGTGTGCATGTTCCATCACTCACAGGTGCTTTACAGTTCTTGGGCTCCCGTGCATAAGATAGTTCATAAATCTCGTCCTCGGTGTAGTAAAGGTCCAAGGATAGCTGCAGGAGACAATGACGTCAGCACATGAGAGGTAAACAGAAAAAGAATGAGCTGTCCGTATCCCATGATTTCTCCTTGGAACATGTTTTGGTAAGAGCGAATTCAGGTTGCAGGACAATTGTTATCTCTCATGGGCATTCTGTCCTTTGAGTATGATTAAAACACTGCACAGAGACAACAGCACAATACAGCCGTCTGAACTCGGTCTCATTCACATTCGGTTTGTTACCCACACACTCATAGATCATAGACTCTCATCACACCCACGCACAACAATCTACATGCCGTAATATTCTCATTCTCGTTTATGTATGTGTTTACAGCTCATGGAAGCAGACAAGGCCACACAATATTTCACTACTTTAAACTTGTATTTAAAGAATACTTTTTAAAGTTTTCTACCGTCAACAGATGAACCAGATCTTTGTTGGCATCCAGTTTGGGTGGGATCTGCTGGAGCTGGATGAGCTCATTGATGTGGTTGTAGAGCGCCTGGAGCTTCTGGACATTCACCTTGTTGTCTTCCACAAAGTCGGACATGGCCTCATTGACTGAAATCAGGTCTTTGAGGTGAACGCCAAGAATGGGGCTTTTAAAACCTGTGCACCTGCTGTAAGCGTGTCTGTAGCTGTCAAAATTTCGGCAGGATGACAGCAGGTCTGTCATCTCATTCAGGACCTGGAAAATAAACACGTTTCTAATAAATTATGAGAAATGTTTGATTTCCAACTTTAAATTATCAGGTGTTTCATTCAAAGGAGTGCCATGCTCTTACGGAGTAATCCAATTGTGTTTTATGTTTAAGAACACATTAACTCAAATAATAGTAAACAAGGAAAGGTCTACAGGGCTCCCCAGTTAAGAGTGGGTCAAACTATCAAAGAATGTCATAAAAGGTTTCCATTCTTTTTTCTGATTGTAAAGGATACACTTGACCAAGTTGAGTTATTTTAGACCAGGGGTAGGTAATCATTTTCCTTGAGGGCTGCTATCCGACACGTTTTAGTTTTTTCCCTGCTCGAACACACCTTTTTTTAAATCAGCAGGTGACTGACAGGCTTTGGTAAAGCTTGCTGAGCTGCTGAACAGGTGATTGAATCACTGGATTAGGTGTGTTAGAGCAAAAAAAAAAACAAAAAAAAAACAACTAAAACATGTTGGATAGCACGCCTGAAGGACCAGGATTACCCAACCCCGTCTTAGATGAATGTTCTGTATAAGAATTTTGGTATTAAATGCTTTACTCTGAAATTATTCTGCTCATACCTCTGAAACAGAGCCATTAAGTAAACTTTTGACATTCATAAATCCCCAACCACTTGGTTTAGTTGTGGTGTACCTCAGGGATGAGCCCTTGGTCCCCTTATATCATTAATTTTATGTGTTTCTTGGGCATCCCATTCAGAGCCATCATATATGCAGATGGCATTAAACTACATGCGCCTAATTTTTGAATCCCCAAAGGTTAGGCACATGTAGTTGAATGTCATCTGCAAAAATAGAGTGGGAGATAATATTTTTACTTGTCTTTCAGACAAAAAAATTACCCTAATTTGTCAATGTATTTAAGAAGACATTCTGTTTTATTTCATGTCTTGTTGGTTCTAATTTTGTGTCTGTCAAACAAAATCATCCTTGAGTCTTGGTATAAAATATCATTCCAACTTATTTTTGCTGCTAAAGTCAACGATGTTCACTCCTAGTTTTTGTTTTCAGCTCAATACATGAAAATCAGGTCATTCCTTTTATCTTTAGCCTGTTGTTTAATGCAACCTTCCTGTACTGATGACCACTGAAACTCTATGTAGGTATCAGCTGAAGCTCCTTCCATCTGCAACTAGACTCATTACTGCGGCCAAAAGATACAAAAACATGTCCCCCATCTCTGGAACCCTCCACCTACAGAACTCAGCCACAGCAAATCTTTTTCTGACTTCAGAACCAAACAAAAGACGTTCCTCTTTGTAGAAGCCCTCGGCGATGGCTGACATTTATTTTTGTGGTGAACATGCAAAGCTAATGTCAAATTACATTTATTCAGCTACAAATAGAGATTCATGTTGACAAATATGAGGACAAGATGGCCAGTGTGACACAGTGTTGGGCTCCGTTGGTACAAGTAAGGCATCTTTGTTGTACTGATGCTGCAGCACAAAAAGGTATCACACACCACGCTGCAGGAAAAGGAAAGAAAAACTAAAAGACAAAGATCAGTTACCTTGGCGACTTCACTTGGTACATGTGAGGTGGTATCTTTAAGTCTTGATATGGAGCTGTGACATAGCCCCCCCACCACTGCCATTAGTGTGTTATAGTTGTGCATATGGTGCAGACTCTGGTGGGCACACACATGAAAAAACAAAAATCATACACGCATCAAAACCAACTCAAAAAACACAAAATTAAATGTGTTCCAAGTAGCCCTGGTTACATAACCTACAACACTGATGTTACATAAGCCACTTAAATTGTCCTTTTTCTTACTTTCTCTTATAGCTCAATGGCTTTTGGAAGCGTTTCCTCTCACTTTTCAGTTGTTGCTTTTTTAATTTGTGCCGTCAGTGAAGCAATATGGTGTGAAATTCGTTTCCGCACCCCGCGGGTTTTGAGGTTGACAGCAGTGGGCAGCAGCAGTCTGGTGCACTGGTGTAACCGTGTGAGAGGTCCAGCTGAGAACAGACCTGTGTAATGGCTCCCTGAAGCCAGCGCATCACCTCTCAGCGGGCTGAATGCAACTCCATACTGGAAGCCAGTCGTTCTTTTTCTTTTAATCATTAAAGTAACCCAATAGGTGCATACTGGTTTAATGGCTCATGTTAACAAATGTGTATAAAGTGTAAATGCATGAAGTTTTTTAGAATTAACAACAGGAATCGTAAACTTAGAGGTGTGTGCTGAGTTGACCACTACCTGCGCAACGTGGATAAACTTTGTGAAAACCTCAGCTCTCAGCTGAGCTGTTGGCCGGCTCAGCACCATCAGCTGAACCCACTGGGAAATCCCATTGCACAGCGCGATTGAACGCTCCAACACGGGGATGTCCTTCATACAGCAGCTTCGAATGTAATTCAGAAAGTCAACAAACTAGCAGGAAGAACAAAGAAACAAACATGGAAAATGTGAGACCCAACAAAGAACACATCAAACCCCAAAGATGGACGTTAGTGCTCATACTCACCGATATTCTACAAAAGGATTTAAACTCCAAGTAAGTGAGATGCTCGGCTAACTCATCAGGCTCCAGGTGATCAAAAAGGAGAGAGACCTTCCTCTTTTTGCTGTAGTTAGCTTTGATCTTCTGGCTAGCCTTCCACGATCGTTCTCGTTCATTTCTGGCCCATAAAACGCAACAGAATTTACTTCATGTTTGTAACCGGTCTTCTACATCGTGACTGACTTTCTAGCTGCAACAAGCTGAAAGTTGTGCAGGCCTCATGTCTCAGTTGGCCAGCTGGTTGGAGATTAACACTTACATCCATTTGGTCTCTAGCAGGGAGCAAAGATCCTCCTGTCCGTGCTCTCTGAGCAGCTCCCGAAACTCCTCCAGGCTGTCAGACAAGCTGTGGGGCAGCCGGAACATTATCCAGAATTCCTGAATCCAATGCCTGGAGTTTTAGAAACAAAACCAAAGTGACTGGTAAAGAAAACACAAGTTAAATTTAGTTAAAAAAAATAAATACAAAGATGTTTCACATGTTAAACCGACCTGATCAGGTAGCATATCCTCTTCAACTCCACCGGCTGATCCTCGTCTAACGCTGTTTTAAATGTAAGAACCAGTTAAGGAGCTCCCTCGAAGAACAGATTTGCTTGATTTTGAAATCAATTTAAAGACAGCTTAAGGTTCTTATTTTGCTGATCACTGCAGGTATGTTTAGAGTAAATAATCAGAATACAAGTGTGCTTTTCCTACAAATAACTCAGCAATTCAAACTAAAACTACTGAACCAAAAGGCAAACACATGTGACATTTGGTCATGTGGGAGGAGGCGTCTGCATGAAGCCCAACTCCGATGAGAATGGCTGAATGAATCACTCGGGCAAGCAGGATAAAGTGAAAAGCGAAACGCACCAAAAAAAAAAAAAAGCATTTAAAAACTGCATAATAGCTGCCAATAAGTATTGTTTGGTGTCAGGACTCTAAGATTTTTTTCATTTGTGTCGTTTACCCATAAAAATATGATTTTATTTCTGGTTGTGAACACAATATTCCCCACATTGCTCAACTTTCTGTATAACTACCACAGAAATATCCAGAACGTATGGCTCTCGAGTTGCAGAAATCAGATGCACACATCAAGGCTAAATGCGTCATGGGAACAGAGGATCCACCTACGCAATCCCGGGGCTCGACTGTGGCGAGGACTGTTAATGGCCCCTGAGTTTCCTTTCTTGATCTCAACAAACAGATTGAATTTATTTAATCCATCCTTTTGGGTCTTCAACTCAGAATTGGAAGGTTAAAAATAGCAGAGGGCCTGTTTGGTCGTGCAGTGGCGAGGATTTATGTGATCAGGGGGTCAGTTTGAGCAAGAGGGTCCGTGTTTATTTATAGTTAATCGGTGGCTGAGATAATTAACACCTGGAGCCCTGAGGATCATCGCTGGACCTGGACATTCTGAGGGGGATTGAATAAATGCTGCTCGACTCCACCAGTAAAAAAAAAAATCTTTCTTTTAAGGCGTCAGAAAGAGAAACTCAGAGATCCAATCAAATATTTCAAATATCTCATTAAATGCCGAAGGAGAAGAGCAAAAAATGAAACTATGGAGACCGAACGTAGGAGTAAACCCAAACTGCCATTTGCCTATCACGTTTTACACCGACAGCTGAAAGATGCACTGTGAGCCAGGAACCAGCCTGACTGTCCGTTGCCGTTGACAACCAGTCAAAAGCAGCAGGGCCAGTGATCTGATCCCTTGTTCTGCTGGAAATTGGCATTGTTTGAATCGCGAGGCTCTGCTGTGCAAACCACTTTGGAACAGGGGGAACCGCTGCAGGATATAGGCTAACGAGTCTGTCCAGCAGGTCGCTGGAGGACATGAGGAGTCGGTGCATGGTGAGGGTGATGTTCAGCAGGTGGCCGTTCTTCCTCACGCCACCATCTGCATCTGAAACGCAGAAACGGGCAACCGTCAACGTCAGCCTGGCCCTTCGATTCCAGTATAAATACAAGAACACAAAAACTTTACCAAGCCAGGATGAGGTAAAAACCTTCCACAACTTATTATTGAATAACCAAAGATTAGGTAATAATGAACTCATTATTCATTTCTTTATTTATTTGTGCTTAATTAATTTCATACATTGTATTTTCTCCATACTTTCCAGAACCGTTTTTTTAAGTGTTACTTTCATTAGAACCACTTCAAATCATGAACTTACATTTCAGATTAATTTATTGGCATTTGACAGCAAGTTTAGAGATCAGAGAGACTGAGAGGTGCAACTCAGGTCAGCCTAAAACAAATCAATAAATAACCTAACGTGATTTATAAAATGCATCAGGCAAGGAGAAGAAGACGGCTTGAGGGTTAGAGTTCATGAGCCTCTCAGCCTTGGGGGAAGCCGTTCCTCAGCTCTGCAGGGTTCTTTCCATCTTTGCAAGCACTTTCATTGTGAGTTTAAGATTTGACAAATAGATATTTTCTCAAGATAATTTTTTCCACTTCTGTGTCTGACTAAATAAAAGATTGTTGCATTAGCACTAATTATGGTTACAGTTTATGAAAAAAATCCAGTTCTTTCAAAACTTTAAAAATATGGCATTAAATGTTGATCATTTTTGCAAATTTGAAACGTGGGTTTGGGTTCGGCCTGCAGGACGTGGGGTGAATATTGCTGGATACGTTTCATGATTTTGTTCTTTGGTCTGGATCTGCTTGTATAATAATACATTCATGAGGTAAAAGGCTGCGATCCATTCATTTGTTTTTTGTTTATTAGTTTGTTGATTTTTTGTTCAGACTGCTCTTAAAATTTCTGCTTATTTATGATTTTTAAATCGTGTCAAAGCACACGTTTGTCTGCTCGAGCTGAGTCTTGTATTTTATGTAAAACTAACAGTGAACATTCCATGCTGTCGTTCTTTTTTAAACCACAGAAACGGTTCCGTTAGGGGAGAGCGGGCAGCAGAGGGCGACAACGTCCTCTGCTGCCCGCGGATAAACGAAGAAGGAAGTGATGCGCCACCATCAGCGTCAGCCCGAGGAAGTCTGCAGCCGCAGACGAAACGTAGCGAAAAAACAGTTAACGGAACCGTTTCTGTGTTTTAAAAAAGAACGACAGCATGGAACTAGAACCAAGACACAGCAAGAACACACCTAAGGTGTTCAAAGAAAAATACGGACAACAAGGAACGAAGGACTTCCGCCGTTTGGAGCGATTACACCAGAAACGTGCACGTCTAAGAAACCACCTTTGCTTCTGTTTAAGATGCCGGGAAGAAAACATCACGCCCGCAAGCTTACAGCTGAAAACACCGATCTGGACCAAGACAGCACAAAATATAATAGAAAGAGCACAAAGAGCACTGCTCAAGGAGAGGATAAGAAACGTCATGACCAAACAGAAGCAAGTAGAAGACGAACTGGAAAGAAGACACCTGGACTTAAAAAGGAATTACAAACTCGATAAACAGCAATATTACAAAAGAACAATCAGCCATGACAGCTTTATCCAAAAATGAACAGATAATTATTCTACCGGCAGACAAAGGAAGAACTACAGTAGTTATGGACAGAGAAAAATATAAACAACAGATGAACCAGATGCTAGAGGACAAAAATACATACAAAATACTTTTAAAAGATCCAACAGAAAACATTAAGAAAAACATAAAAAAATTACTGAAGCCACTGCACGAAAAAGGCAAAATAACAGAAAAAATGTACAAACACTGGATTCCTACAGCAAACATAACACCAAGAATATATGAAACGCCAAAAATACATAAACAAAACACCCCACTTAGACCAATAGTTGACAGCATAGGTACACCAACATACAACATGGCAAAAGATATCAGCAGAATCATCAGTCCCTTATTAGGAAACACAGATCAACACTGCAAAAATAGCATAGAACTGGCAAAAGAACTAAAGGAGATTACAATAGAAGACGACGACATACTCATCTCACATGACGTCACATCCCTGTTCACAAAAACACCAACCCAAAAAACCATAGACATAGTAGTTAACAGAATCAGACAGGACAAGACTTTACACAAAAGAACAAACCTCACAGCAGATGACATAGCACGCCTGATAGGACTGGTAGCTAACTCCACTTACTTCACATATGACAACACAATATACAAACAACTGGAAGGCTTCGCCATGGGTAACCCATTATCAGCCACCCTGTGCGAGTTTTTCATGGAAGACCTAGAACAAAAAGCCATAGCCACTGCCCCCCCCCCCCCCCCCCCCCCCCACACACACACACACACACACAAACTGCAAAATAAAACTATGGAAACGCTACGTAGACGACATACTGGAAATCATACCAAAAGGACAAACAGAAACACTAACACAACACTTGAATAACATGGACGACACGGGCAGCATAAAATCCACTTATGAGTCAGAAACAGAAGGCAGCATAGCATTTATGGATATGAAAATCACCAGACAGACCGACGGGACCCCAAACATAAACACATACAGGAAACCAACACACAGACCAATATCTACTATGGACATCAGAACACCCCACCATACACAAAATGTCTGTAATCAGAACATTATATCACCGAGCAAACATAATAACAGAAGAAAGAGACCGTAAACAAGAAGACAAACACATACAACATGCTTTAAAGACCTGCGGATACCCGACATGGGCAATAAACAAAGGAAAACAACAAACAACAACAGAAAGAAAAGAACAACCTAAGCAAAGAACCAGAAACCCAGAAAGACAAGAACCAAAACCAGTGATAACCTTACCACACATTAGAGGCATAACAGAAAAAATAAGAGCAACAATGAAAAAACACAACATAAACACACCAACAAAACCATACACAACAGTTAGAAACAGACTAGTACACCCAAAAGACAAAATACCAGCTGGACTTACATGTGGAGTCGTTTACGAAATCCCATGCAAACTCTGCAATAAAACATACGTAGGAGAAACCGGACGCCAACTCAACACACAAACAATAGAACACAGAAAGGAGTGCGAGAAAGAGGCAAGTCGAAAACACACAAGAGCAGCAAAAGAAGAAGCAGAAAGCACAATAAAGAAGTCAGCCGTAACAGATCACTGCACAAGAGAAAACCATATAATGGACTGGGACAACACAAGGATCATAGACACCGAACAACAAAAATACAAAAGATGGATTAAAGAAGCAATCGAGATAAGGAGACTTGGATGTGGGACCATGAACAGGGACGATGGAGTTTACACGTTGGACCGCACATGGGACTGCATCGTCAGAGAGGGGAGAGTGGGCAGCAGAGTGTGACAACGTCCTTTGCTGCCCGCGGATAAACGGAGAAGGAAGTGACGCCACCATCAGCGTCAGCCTGAGGAAGTCTGCAGCCGCAGACGAAACGTAGCGAAAAAACCGGTAACTGAACCGTTTCTGTGTTTTAAAAAAGAACGACAGCATGGAATTAGAACCAAGACACAGCAAGAACACACCTAAGATGTTAACAGTGAACATTTTCAAATTGATCATCTCATGGTTAAAAACTACACTATCGATTAGAAAATGGACTAAAACACATCCATGAGATCATTTAACCTTGTTTTTGGACTAATTGGTTAATTAGGCAGTCTTGACCTTGATTAGGCCAATTTACAGGCTTCTTGAAGGTTCTCATATCTGAGAGCACGTACAAACGCTCTGGAGGATTACATTTTAACTAAGCCGTGACGGAGATTTTTCCATCCCTGCAGTTTATAGCTGAACTCAGACCTTTATAGTCAAACCTCTCAGACCCTGCAGGCATCAGATTTACCTTTTCCTCTTATTGTGTGAACCTCTGACACTTTCTTGTCTCACTACCTTTTTCACTTCCTTTTTCCTCGCCTGCACGTAACTTCCTCTGTTTGTGACCAGACCACCTTTGCTTATCTCGCTGTCTGACTGTAAGCTGCAGCAAACATCTTGAGATTCACAGCGAGAGAGCGAAAGAGAAGGAGGGAGTGAGTGAGAGAGCCGGCCCCGCTAGACACAACATAAGATTAAAGTGCATGTGCACAAAACACTGTGCAACTTTCCAAGCAAGCTCCAACCTGTAGCTTCACACATTTCACTCCCCCCACATTAAGTAGCACATGAGTAAAACTCGTTTTTAATACATTGTGTGATGCTTTAGCTGTTTTATGTTTCTTCCTGTAGAATCTGAACACACTGTGTTCAAAATCAAAAACAACCACCGTGAACACCACTACACTGGCATCATCAAGGACATCAGGCATCTGAGGAGCCACTTTTAAACCACATTGCCTTGGAAGTACCTCCGACGCCATGGTAACGGGCTTTCTTATCTTTGTTATCTGTAAGCAACTTGCCTCTGCTGATGCAGCTGACTAATCTAGCTCACCGGATCGGACTTGTTTCTATTTGTAACACGCAGCCGCTGTCATCTAAACTTAGTGAGTGATGAAGACCTCATCAGCACTCCAAGCAACAAAAGAAACAAAACAGATAATGTCTAGTTTGTCTAAACTATGCTCTTGTTTATGCTTTGCACATATGAGCTGGCTTTGTATTTGTATCAACACTTCGAGTAGAATTTAATCAGATGAAGTCGAACTTGTGTGCACAACAGGGTGTCACGGTTCCATCTGGTCAACAATTGCTTCATCCTTCTTTTCACAACATTCCAACCACTAACACTCCCTGCACAGGGTTAATTACAGGAGGAAATCCTTTCTGGAGTGGCGGTTAGTTACTGGGACATTAGGAAAGCTTCCGCCCTGCACACTGGATCCACATGATACCAGAGGGTGGTAAACACTTCACAGTGTCCGCTTTAGGAGTTATCTGAAATTCTGCGTCACTTTTCCTTGTTTTCGCAGAGGAGCTATCTGACTGGTGGATCCTTTTGATTTATTTTGGTCCAAGTCACATGCAGGAAGTGGATCGTCTCTCTGTGACCTGAACAAAGTCCTCCATTCTGTCTGGGATGAATGTGCTGCAGTGATTACTAACCAGAAACAGCAGAAATAAATTAGTTTTTAAAAGGTAAATTTGTAAGTAAATTCCTCATTTGAATAAAGGGATATTTCATATTTTATGACGTTTGAGAAGTTTCTGAGCATTTCATATTTTACCTGATGGAGAAAGTTGATTGAGCAGCCTTTGTTTGGAGAAATAGGGCGTAATTCTGTCCAGACAGATGAGCTAATATTTAGTCACACTAGAGGCGGTTGAAGTGGTTTCATGTTGTCTCAGAACAAATTTTATATTACTTTATATAAAGACTTTTTAAACTATGATAAACCTCCACATTGCCTTTAATATTACATTACATGATTGTTAGAAATATGAAAATCTGACCAGACTCTGCAGTGTTTCCCTTACATAGGCTCAGCCATGGTGCTGTGCCAGGGCTGAAATTCCACCACCCCCCTCCAGACCCACGGAAGCTAAATGATCTGCATGCAAATCATCTTAAAGCTTGAGTCTGGAACAATTTAATAAAAGCTATATTTTTATTAGGGGTGCAGAATGAATGTATTTCATTTAAAAGCTTCATTTTAATTAACAAATATTTATTTTGATGGGCATGACACTGGGTTTATGTTTCCATCTACCAGCCAACAGAGGGCAGCATTGAAGAGTGCCAGGCAGTCCGCTCGGCACAGCAAGGCTGGCCCTGTGGAAAACGGCAGACTTGGAAAGTCGAGCAGCTGTTTCTGAGCCCAGAAGACGTTCTCTTTCTCAGAAGAGGAGTGACCATAAAAAATCAGAGTGGGTTGAGGTGAAGCCTACAACAAATGGACTCGAATAAAAACTTCCATGTATCGGCAGTGAACCTGGTATCCCTACGGCTGGAAACCTTCTTTTGTTGTTGCAACTACAACCTTCACACACTAGATGTCACTTTGGTGTTCATTTTTCATATTCCACCTTTAATATTGGTGTCCACCAATGTTAGTAATTGGTCATGTGACAGTGATGATAATCATCTCAGAAGCAAAAAGGCATGAGTGTTCATTTAATTTATTTAATTTAGAAAACAAATTGGCTTCAAACATTTTTTATGCCTCTTGACAGCGTTCTAAATTGTGGCTCTTACACACTATCGTCGGCTCCAATCCACCTGGACCGGGTTGTAGCCTTGGATTTTCTTGCGTACGACTGAACGTCTTTTCAGCCCTCTTCTCGAGGCGGTGTGCCTGGAGCCGAACTGGTCCAACACGCCCACTGCTGACTGACTGGCTGGCTGGCTCACGCGTACCATTAGCGGGAGCCTCCGATTGGCTGATAGAATCAGCTCACTTCCTGCGTGCACGAGTCATTATCATTCTTGATGCTGTGGAGTTAACGAGCCTCTGACTGATGCTGTTTTTCTTTGTCTCTCACTGCTGTGAGGAGCGCGCGCGCACGCACACACACACACACACACACACACACAGACACACACACACTAACACACACACTAACACAAAACGCTGCCAGACACAACAAAGCAAGATGCAAAATCAGAGTCAGAGTCTCCAAAAGCAAGACTGCTTAGGCCGCTTTTGTTTAATAATAGAGACACTGCAGACTTCTCCGGGCTCTTGTGCCCCGCCCACGTGCTCAGAGATGCGCTCATGACATCACAGACCACAGATCGCCCATGTGCTCAATCACGTCCAAATTCCTAAGGCAGTGTGGAACGAACGCGGCCAGGCAGGGAGCTGATGCCAGTAAGTGGCAATAGTATCGCTATAAATATATTGCGGAGATTAAAAAAAGGAAAAATTAGTAAAGTGGTTTTTCTCACATTTGTCTAAAAACCTCCACCAATTACACATTTTGGACTGAAAGCAACCATTGGACCATCTGGTTGTCAGTCTTTCCAAACTGCTGTATTTAGCAACAGAACATCACTGCTGTGAGAGGTTTGCGGCTCAACAATATCAGAGAAGGAGAAACAGCCGGCTGCTACCACTTCAGCTTTAGATTCCCAAATAGAAAAACATCATTTGAAGTCACGGACGACAAAAGACGTTCAGACCCAGAAAACGGCGACTGGCGCTCTCTCGTTACATCCAACATTGTGGGTTCCCGTTTTAGGGAAGATACCCAACGGGAGGGGTGAGTGTTCCGTGACCATGTTTGTGTTCAAAACCTAGCTTGTTTGCAGATATGCCATAACGGCTTTACTATATCCGTCACTGTCCATAACATAATATCAATATTATAAGATTTGTATTTGGTCTCACTGTGTCCAGCTGTTAGCTTGTGAATCTGGTCAGAAATAATCTTCTGCAAACTTTAACCGTGTAGGGAACTAATCTTTCGATAGCAACACTTCAAAAGAACTGAACAATGATTTTAAAACAAGGGAAAACAGCTGTAAAACTCAAAGGGAAGCATTTTCCTTCAAGTGGAAAAAGGACCTTTTATTGTGAAGTTAGGACTAAATAGTCAAAAATATTTACTGAATAAAATGGCTGATTGTGACCTTAATGAAGACATGTTTGAATGTGTGTAAAGATAATAGATAATATGCTGATTTGACTTGTTTATTGGTGTGAATTAAGAGTTATTTTAAGTTGTTGTTGTTATTTATTACAAAAGCAAACAACCACAGTTTGACACAAAACCATGGAAGTAAAAAGCACACAACGCAACATTTTCACACAACTTACTGTAACAACTTTCCTGACAATCATTAGATTTTATCACAATTGATCACATTTCTAACAATATTTTGATGTTTTCTTTACTGCGAAACCCATTTTGACAGCGTATTGGCAACAAGAGATGCTATCAGCGATTGATCTACAGCTCGCTGTGTTCAAAGGCTGGTCACCGTCTGAGGACTGCAGTTCAGGGGTGTGTGTGTGTGTGTGTGTGTGCGCGTGTGTATTTGCTGACCTTCTAGATCAGCCAAGCTTGTAGCACTTATTGGTTAATCGTTCAAATAGCTCCTATGTGCACTCTCACATTTACAAAGGTGGCAGGACTTGAAGACCGTAGGGGTTCGTGTGTGATGTTGCCGCACTGTTTTATCTGAATTTGGTTCAAGGAAGCCCCCATTCATAACGCGGCACTGACCGACAGATACCATCTTTTACATGCACATCTCACGTTTTGCATGCAGCAGTGACATTAAAATCATTTCACACCCAGAGCATTGCATGCCTCTGATCCTCTAATGAGAGGCAGGCTGTCATTAGAGCCCACTTCTACTTTCCTACAGATAAATGTAGTTATGAGATGTCTTTTTGTTCACGTGAAGCCTTTATCGTGACACTTCACTGCTTTTGGCTGCATAAGCGTAACCAGGCAACGGCAAATCTGAAAGCTGTCTCTTCAGAGACACCATCACCATAACTCTGAGAGCTCTCCAGACAACTTGATGATCTTTGACTGATCCAACTGCAGCCCACATGATCACTGCTGTGCCTTTTTTAGGCAGCTGAAAACTCATCAAAACCTTCTCCGCATTTGTCTCTTTCTACCTACTCTGCCTTTCCTGGGATCCACTAATTAACTATTTCTTATTCATTTTCTCTTTCCCTTTCCTCGATTTTTTCCACAATTTCTTACTCATCCAAATTTTTTTATCATTTTAAATTAAATTCTTTTGTTCTTGTGAAGCACCTGTGATTTTATCTTGAGAGGCGATGTATAAAAAAATAATTTCTTCTTCTTCTTAAATTGAAATAAACTTACTTGAGAAAGAATAGGACAACAAACATCTACTGCCCTGAGGTCCTGCCTTAAAAGTTCTAAGCATTCCCAGAATACCACCGTCCCCTCGTTGTCTGCAGATTTCTGTTTGGACTTACCAAAACAATCCAAGCAGGCCTGGATGAGTTCCTCCCAGGTCGCCCCTTTACTGAGGTGTCCCAGAGACATTACTAATTTCCTCGGGGGGGTCTGGATGGGCTTGTGGAACCTGTTAGGACGACCAGGAGGAGAAACTCTGGTCTTGCTGAAAGTGCATCCTGTAGTCGCCCTCCTGGACGAACATCAACAAAACAAAAGTAAACAACAAAATAGTGAAAGTCTGATCTTTGTTCTAAACAGAACATACATTAAAACTGAATTTATGCTCCCATATGTTGGTGCTGGAGAGATGGTTCCTCAAATAGTCTAAACAACTTGTGGTTTACACTTCAGAAACTCATAAGTTGCTGCTCATTGTTCTGGTTTCCTTCCTTTTAATTGTGTGTGAAACAGCCCACTTACGTTCAACTCCAGAATAAACAGATGTTATGTTGTTTTAATCCATTTTGCGTGTCTGAGCCATTTAGTGCATACAAACTCTAAGAGGAACGTACATTTAAAGTTCATAAATAAACAAATAAATAAACAAATCATAAACCAGAGGTATTTTCTGATAACTGTGCGCGTAATTTCCAAAACCGTGTCAGAAACTCCCTCCGTAAATATGAACAAAAAGAATCATTTTAAGAAGATCACACTTACACGTCATCCTTTCCCTTGTCGTCTGACGTTATGGTTTCATTTTGGTTCTCTTTAGATTGACATCCCATGGCGAGGTACTGGGCGACGAGCGGCTGAACTAGGCTGTCCATTTGCGTCCTCCTCGATGGGAGCATTTCATAGCTCTGGCCGGATCGGATCGGTGCGCCTCCGCGGGCTCTGCGGCATTGTGCTGACTCGTCAATGAGCGTTACACAATTAAGATTCACCCAGTCTGTCTGCTAGTGGGCGGCCGCGCTGCTGTCGGGCATGTCACTCACTCTGAACTGGCTCCGCTCCCAAATGCTTGTTTTCTCTTGCGTCACACTCACACACGCAGCGAGTTTTTGCAGGTTTCTCACAACTTTTAAATCCAGGTTACGCTGAAATCCAGCCAGTCCCTGGACCTCCTATGGGGTTTTCAGGGAACACCAAAGTCCACAATTGTTTGTTTGTTTTTCTCAGCCAAATGACGTTTCAGACCGGTAAACACATCAGTAACCTAAAATATAATACATGATGATTTAATTTAAGAGGGAGGGTTTTCACTGTTTGAGGTCAAAGGTCAGACATTCTCCTTCAGAACAACACAGAAACAGCCCCAGGTCATCACACTATCACCTCCGTGTTTTACTGTTGGTGGGTTATTATTATTATTGTAAACGTTTTACTGTTGTTTAATGCACATGTTTCGTAAAAGAGAGCCATCAGTAAAAATGTTAAACGGACCTTTAGCTGTTTTTGTTTTTGTTTTGGTCAGCAGAGGTGATGGTCTTGGAATTCACCCTGAAGGACATTTTTGTGCCTCCATGTTTTTCTTTTCATTTGATGACGACTTCTGACCTCAACCTGAATGAAAAAAAAAATGCTCTAGAAGTCATTTTGTTCCTGTGTGCTGTGTTGCTTTTTGAGATCCTACTCATGTTTTCTAGTAAATCATTAAGTCCAATAAGACCCAAGCAGTTGTTAAAACTGAGCAGTTTTCCAAATAATGTGGTTAAAGACAGTTAATGCGTTTCTTCAGGGCCTATTTGGCTTGCAACATGAGAAGTTTAATGAGAAATTAAAACCAATAGTACAACATAATAGTATAACAAAGAAACATTTGCAGGTTTACAAGCAACATTTAAACGATACGAGTCATTTAGACTGTAAATACTTCCATACAGCACTGTACACCAAACCATTTGTTTCCTGACATCACTGCTGTAATTTTCTGCCATCCTAAAAGGTTTTGCGTCTTAAAAATTTGTAAATAAAAGAAGAGAACAATGGTTTATGATGGTTTAATATGGATCATGATTATTCATGTTGCAGCATACAGGCCATACAATAAAGGATACAAAAACATATCAATTTGGAGAACTATCAGTAGAAATGCCTGCTTTAACTGCATTAACTTCTTCCTGTCCGTAAACTCACGCCTCTCCCATCTCTTTGCCTGGGAGTCTAAAACGGTTAGCAGTTCACCAGAAATGAGTGTGATCGTGCATACCATTGTGCTTCAGTTTAGCTCCCTTTTTTGGTCATATGCAAACTAAACTTTGTGCACCTGCAGAGTTTAACTTCAGTTTTGATCTAACCTTTGGTTTGGTCTAAACAAAACAAAACAAAAAAAACATTTTGGGAAAAAGCTAAAACCAGATAGATTTAGAAATGTGTTATCTTTGATGATTTGCGGTGGTTCAGATACTGTGGTCTCCACTTTTGAAATCAAAATCCCACCCCAGCTTTTGGCCCTTGATGTAAATCCATTCTGGAAAACAGGAGTGGTGTGATTCCTCCTTTGCTTTACTAAAAGTTTCTGTTTGTTCAGTCTGCAGAGCAGGAAAGGGTGGATCTTCCTTCAAAGATAAAACAAGCTGCATTCCATTATGAACATTTATTGATTGTGTTGCTGAGGGAGGATGCTTCCTGTTTCAGCTACTTTAATTTGTCAATTCACATTTTCTTCAAGATTTTTTGTCAAGGGACTTTGTTTTTTCAGTGCATTTAGTAAAATAATTCACTTTAGATACATTTCATGCATGCCATTCACAGTGTTTCTTTTACCATTCAAATACAAATCTAATCTTTGCTGTAGGAATGGCATCAAGGAGGAATAATGCACACCGAAAGAGAAACTATATATAGAGAGAGTGAGCATGAGGACAAAGATAAAACTGAAGCATGTCGGGTTCTGCACAACATCCTTCAGTTGATTAGGTGTCTCCAGGTTTAATGTGAAAACCAGAGTATTTCCATTGGAAAAGTGAAGTCATAACAACATGTGCATTCACAGCTGTCTGATAATGATAATGTTTTTCTTTGTCCCTGCTTCTACTTTTGATGCCTTAAGTCTGCTCACACGAGACATCTAACAATCTGTGAAACATTTGGGAGCGATATTGGACTTACTTTTCTGCAAGCGACTTGAATAAAATTTGTAATGTAGTCAAATTTCTAAGTTTATTTGATGCTTAAATTGTAGTGACATGTGTAGAAATACAATTCATACACTGAGTTATTTGAAATAAACAGAATTTTATGTAACCTGAAAATTATCAAGACCTTTCAGCTCACAACACAAGAATTAGAAGGCTTGGGTCAAAAGAAATCCGAAACCTGAGCTGAGTATACCCCCTAGTGGATATAATTGGCTGTTTGATGCCGTCAGCGTGGTGTTCTTTTTCTGTTAAATCAGACAGGGCAGCCTTAAAAAATACAACTATCACTCAATTCTGAATAGAGAAAGGATGTTTGACAATCAGCCATTGCAAGGAGGAGACTGTTCAAAAAAGGCTCATGGTTTGTAAACATTTTTATTTGCATAATTATCATTATTTGTGTTCACTTAACAACTAAACTGCGTGAATCTGAAATTGTTACACTGCTGCCGTCTCTCGATTTTATTCCACTAGATGGCGCAAACGACAAAAGATTGAAATTTCAACAATAAATCTAAAAATATGACAGTAGCTAAATCAGGACTGCAGGATAGTGTATTTTCTGTCCAGTCTATGCCTCAAATTGAAATAAACATGAAACAATATAGCTTATGGTATTTAGAAGTATTTTAAACGCAAACATTTCTTGCTAGTTGTCTTCAAATTAAGATTACCGCCGGAAAGTAACGAAGAGCTCTTGAACGCAACACAACCGCGCTGTGTGCTGCTAGCTGCTAGCCAAATAGCTAGTAATTTTCAGGTCTCGGGACTGCTAGTGACAGAATAAATAACCTTATGAACGTAGTCTAGTATTTCGTAACTAAAGATTTAGAGTTTTTCTTTTAAAATGGTTGTGGACGACGTCGAATTTATGACTCTTTTAAAAGGAAAACGCATTAAGCTAACGCTGAAGGGGGGTTCCTGTTTCGAGGGCATCATACAACGCATCAATCCCAACAAAACCTTGGTTTTGGCAGATGGTAAGCAGTTCAGTTTCCAACTTTGTGTGTATTTACTTTTTATACAGTAGCGGAAAACTTTATGTAACATTTACTTCAGTTAGGATCAGCGATGGACGCAGAATTTCTGGAACCAAACTGTTCTTTGGACGTGAGATTTCAAATGGTAAATAATGAATGAAGCAATTGGGTAAGAATTGGGTCAGTATTGTTATTTAACACAATTCTTTTTTTCAAAATTTAACTCCCAAGTTGAAGTTGCTGATGAAACAAGACTTGACACGGGGTAAGTGAAGTAAAACTCACAGGTGATGTGTGATTTCCTGATTAAGAAGTGGACTTTATGAAACATGCTGCATAGCAATATCGATCTGGTTGAATCTGAGGAGAAGCTTATCAACGTGGAAAAGTTTCAGCCATACAGGAAGACGTTCCCATTTGGTGAGTTTATAACAGAAAATGTTTTTTTGAACTGGTAAAGCCACAAAATGCATTCCAGTTTTATGTGACATTATTATTTAATTATATAAAGTGCTTCTCTTGTAGATGACGATGATGAAGATAAGTTCATCAATTTCGAAGTTATTGATGAGTATCACCAGAAATTTGGTCCAGCCGTACGTTGACTTTCCACATGTTTTGGGTTGCATGACTTAGATTATTATATAATGCAGTTCTTGGGGAGGGGGAGGGAAAGATAAATGTTCTCTTTCATTTACTTTAGGTAATGACCATCAAAAAGCAGCGTGTAATTGGTGTGGGAGGTGAAGGGGTGGAGGTGCACAAGAGTGGACGATTGTGCTGGTTGCAGGTGTAAAGTCTGGATTTGTGTTCTTTTAAATAATTCATTCTTTAACTCCAGACATGAAAACTAATGGTTTCATGTTCTTTCTTTTAGATCGCAACTAAAAACAAGGTGTACTTGTTTGATATCCTGCTACTTGGAGCACGTGCATTTAAAAACGGTCTTTCTATGATCCTGGAAAGTAAACGCATATTAAAGGTGATCAGTCTGAATTTGTTTTAGGTCCTGTTTAGTCATAGCTATGGTAAATCCTCTGTTTCATCTCTTTGTTACAGGTCATACATGACTGCAGAGCCCTTGCTGGATGTCTCTTTGCTCATTTTGGAGTAAAACTTAACAACGTTTTTGACACTCAGGTGGGGGGTACAGGATGCTTGGTGTGAGTCACACATATGTCCTATTTTGTGTTTGAGCGTAATGTGTGCTTAATTTTTATTTCTGTGTGTCTCAAGGTGGCAGATGTGATGTGCTTCTACTCAGAGACAGGAGGCTTCCTTCCTGACCGAGTCAGTACTCTCCAGGAGGTGGTAAGTCTTCATCTGAAGGTTCCTGCCTCGGGGCTCTCATCTCTTCAGAAGAAGTCACAGCTCAGTCAGGTAAAACACTTAAAGATGAGTGTATACATATTTGCTGATCCATAATCCAGACACGTCAATAATATAAGCAAACAACACCATTTAGGTTTGTTGTTGTGCTTTTTGAGTTATAGAACAACACATTTTTTGCAAATCGGTGGGATTTTATGTTGTGAAACAATAAAGTATTCAATCATAGGAAGCAATGGAGATGTGGTACAAGCGGCCATGCTCTGTACCCCTGCTGAAGGTGATGGCTGTGTCAGTGATTCATCTGCAGCCGCTCAGACTGGTCCTGCTAGACACACTCATGCATGACTATGTGGCTCTAGTGGATTCTTACCTTACCAGCAGCCACTTTGAACCCCATGGATTGGAACATGTCGACATGGTGAGTTATTGTTCGACTCCAGTAGCTGTCGTTATATCAGGAACATAAACGGCTCCAGCTTGAAGCCTGCATCATTTTCAGGTCACAGTTTCTTGCTAAATGTATCTTTGGGGCAAAATAAGACATTTAAGAAGATTTTTGAGGCACTTTTGTTGTTTGAAGCTTCGTCTGCTAGAACTAAGCTGTTGATAGTTGACCATTAACTGCTGGTTTTTACACCTTTACACACTAAAAACAGTCTAGCCTTTGTGTTTACAAGTGAAGATCATTTCTGTGTGTGTGTGTGTGGTTGTGTTATTAATGTGACTGCGCTCTGGTTAGAGTAAACACCTTTTTTACTGGCCTGAATCCACAGGAAAGTGTACTGGTCTTGCCCAACGAGCTCAGACGACTGCTTGAGCAGCACCGTGAACGGCATGAGCAGGCTGCTGCTCACTATCCTGTCACAGAACAAGGTCTGCTTGTTCGCTTCAAACCTTATTCTCACTCAGACTCCCAGAGATCCTCTGCTGCAGAGGATTACATCAATGACTCGTTTGAGCCTGCGGCTGTGGAGCTTTCACCACCACGTACGGATCCCCTCGTTAACCAACAAAGATCCAGCTGTGTGCCTTCTGTGGGTGTCCATGCCTTATGTGATTCTCTGGACGAATCACCATCCTCGGCCGCAGTGTCCAACCAGGAGAAAGGAAAGTCTGCGGCTAGACCTCCATCTGAGTTTCATATTGATGTGGCAGGAAGAGGAAGGCCGTTTGTGAAAGAGGAGGCAACTTTACCGATCTTACCATCCTTGGGACGAGGTTTACTTCTTCAGACACTCAAAGAGTGTGTTGGCTCCCTCAGAAGTCCGAATAGTCTAGAGGTGGCTACAAAAGTTGCAAACAGCACTCTGACCCAAGAAGAAAGCCCACAGCCCGGAGGTCATGATGATGATGTTTTAAGGGAGATGTGTGGTTCAGGGGAACAATTTCCCCCAACTCGCCAGTGCATCAGATCCTCTCTGATCCAGTCATTCCATTCTTTCAGATATTAAAACTAAAGTCTTCATCCTGGAAGGATGTAGCTTTGATATGAGGGTTGTTGCTTTTTGTAATTGTCCACAGTGACCAGTAGATGGCAGTAAATGTTCTGTTACAAAACTTTAATTTGGGACACTTACAAGAAGTATTTATGATTTAAACCAAACCGTAGATATGTTTGGACTGTTTGGTTCACTTATAAGAAAACGTTTGTGCCTTTAATAAGAGCATTCATATTTGTTTTTTGTTTTTTTCGACGTACTGTTTCTAAAGCTAACTTTTGAGTGTAAAAGGAAAAGAAAATGTTTGATTCTGAGCAAAAGTAAAAGCTGAATATGTTTATCATAGTTTATGTTCTGGTTTTGTTTCTTAAACAGTCCAGATGGAAACTCTGCCTGTGAAACATGAAATAACAACTACAAGCCAACTCTTGGTTTCTGTGTTACAGATGATCAATCATTAGAAATGCAGACAGGCATTGATGGATCTAGCAAAAACATTGTTAGCTGGCACTTTAATTGATCACTGATGAATAAAAAAGCCCTGGACTTGGCACAGGCTGTGCAGTTGCACTCTCCAGCTTCACTCTGGTTCTGTAGTTGATCACAGGTGCCAAGCACCTGCTGTGTTCTTCAAAGCAGATCTTTGACAAAAAAAACTTGTAGCCCGAGATTCCATGCAGATCTTGCAAAGCGGCGCTGCATGTCTATATCAGCCTGGATCACCACAGATCATGTCGTAGATAGATCGAAGCGCCAGCACAACAGCAGGGTATCGCAGTGGCTTTCTTGTATAATCACATCTCGTTGCTGTGGCTATAGGACTGGGTTTGTCCCTGAGCTTCAGTCTGAAAGCGTGAAACATAACGAAGGATTTTAATTAACTAGGAGGCAGCTTTTCTTAAAGCTCTGCATCTCTCTTAGCAACCAGCTTCCCCTCAGAATCTGTTCAACACACGCGGTGTGGAGCATCCTTATGTTTCCCTTAACCCTTAAGACTGTCCTCCCCTTGCCTGGACACATGTAGGTCCAGCAGGGAACAAAGGCTTACCACATCACAGCACAGGGTACCAATTACTGTAACTTTCCTGTAGAGCACCAGAATGGAAACTCATTTTCTACATCGGCCTAAATCAACCCTGCTGTTGCTGGAAAGGGGGAGGGGTGATTAGTGGGAGGGGACACAGGTCTCTGTGGGGCCATGGAGGACAAGCTCCTGTCATTGACCAACAGATTGGAGCTCTTATTTTAGAGGACCTTGCATTTCCTCTCCGTCACAATAATGCCTTATGTGCTCCACTTCCTGTTTCTCAGGCCTGGGAGGAAGGAACTGTGAGCTTGTCACACGGTAGTCACCATTTCCTCCTCCAACCCCCACCACCTCTAAACTTCAGACAGTGTTATGTCCTTCAGAGGGGAAAGATGTCTGCACCTTCAGCATCATAGCAGGATGCGTCTGAGCTATTTTTGTGTTCGTGTCGGAAAGGTAGTGCACAGACATAAACACAAACTGTAGGACGTCCAGCTGTGTTGATTTAGCTTTCAAAACTGGAGCTTCAAGACCAATTCTTGTTTTGACTGAGCAGTATAATGGATCAGAAATGTAGTTTTTTTTATTAGTTTTATATTTCACACAAATGAAAACAAGGATCAAGATGTCTGCTTTATTCCAAGTTTCCACATAGTGTTGCGTCATTTGACAGGGAAAAGACATGCTGCATCACAGCTCACCTGCACCTGTGGCACCCTCCTAACAGCACCCAAAACAAAACAAAGGTGCAAACACTCCCCCCCCCCCCCCCCCCCCACACACACACACACACACACACACCACCACCACCACACCTTACAACTACAAGGCAGCACAATACACACAACAGGCTATTGCAGGGTTATGCTCTATAATTAATAGGCTTTCATTAATTATTAAAAAGAGGGATACTTTACTCAACCAGTCCCTTTAAATGGCAGCTTGTTAAATCGACATGCTGTTAGCTAGTTTGCACTCTGAAGCACATCATTAAATTTCACAGTTGAGTTTTGCTTGCTGAGTACAAACTCCTACCAAAAGTGAAGCCAACCAGGACAAAAATTGCAGTTCAAACACTCATCCTCTAGGCAGCAAATTCTCATTTCCCCCATGTTACAAAAGGCCAACATCAAAGCAGATATAAACAGTGATTTTTATTTTTATTTATTTTTTGTAACCAGTGTTTGGGTGTAATTAAATGCTTGAAATGATGAATAATTGGATTTGATTGACAGAGAGCACGAGCCATCAGAGCTAACGCTAGCGGCTAGCTCCGGGGAAGGCCTCAGGTTAATAGTGATTAGCTGTGTCCTCTGTGTGTTCATGTTTGGATGTTAATTATGGGATTATTGGACAAAGATGGCTAGCTGTGGTAATGATTGAACTAACAGACCATACAAAAAGTCGGTTTAATTTTTATTAAGTAAAACTGTATTTTTTTACTTTAAGTGAAGAGTAGCACCCAAATCTGGTTGTGTTTTCGCCTGTGGAGCTCTCTGAGGGAGACCACAGAAACTTCATAGCTCCGTGAGTTAATGCGTGCTTTACGTTAGAGGCCATTCAACTGCATTTTTCTAGCTAAAAGCACCAACAAACCTCCCTTAGCTTCAGTTAACTAAGTTAGCTTGCAGCTGGCAGCAATGGCGGAATGAGATCCTGAAAATTCCTCTCTCAGCTTCACCTCTTTGCCTATTTTTATTTAGTTTGGTAGTGTCGAGACGCCACGGAGGGTTTGTCCATACTGTTTTTACAGTCATTGGTGCACATACAGATCATGATGCAGAAGAGGAAACCAGATCAGAGGATCTGCATTTATAGTTTGTTAACTTTTAACTTTGTCTTCTTTACGGAGTTTTGCCAATTAGTTTTCAAGCTAGAAATTATAGGTGGCAAATTAGTCCTGAAGCAACCATGTTGACAGAACTTCATCTGTAGGTTCAAAGAACCAGACCGATGGGCATTATTCAGTCATTCTAGCTGTTGTTGGGGCAGCAGTAGTTCAATAGGCTGAGCGGGTCGTCCAGTAATCGGAAGGTTGCAGGTTTGATCTCGGCTCCGGACAGAGAATTATGCTGTTGTGTCCTTGCGCAAGACACTTAACCCACCTTGCCTGCTCTGGTGGTGGTCAGAGGGGCCGGTGGCGCCTGTGCTCGGCAGCCTCGCCTCTCAGTGCGCCCCAGGGCAGCTGTCACCATCAGTGTGTGAATGTGTGTGTGAATGGATGAATGATACACTGCAGTGTAAAGCGCTTTGGAGTCCTTATTCTGAGAGGCGCTATACAAGTGTGGGCCATTTGTCATTTGTCACAACAATTTACACGTGTCAACAAATAATAGCAGTTTCATTATTCTTGACCTCACATATAAATCCTTTTGTGTTCATAACTGAGACGGTATATAATATATCAGGTTTCATTAAGCCACCGAGCTGAATCCTCACTGTCAGTTTTGCATCTGTTGGAACGAGTCTGTCGTTGAACCCTGCTCCCACCACATTACAAAATGACCCTCTTTTGCTCTCCTTATCCAACTGGAAAATTAAAATTTAATGTGTGAAAGATCAACTTATCCAGATGGCTTCTTGAGTTAAACAAAAAAGAACAAAACACTGCATCAATATTTTAGCCGGCCTCACTAATGGCATGCACGCATCCCTGCAGTCAGGAAATCATGCTCAGGAAGACCCCTATGTGCATTTATCCAAACACTCAAACACACACGCAGATGCATGCACGTAATGTGCACCTTTATGAACAGCTGTGTGTTTACTTAAACAGCATGACGCACGGGGACTTGGAGGGCTTCTCTAAAGGAGTCAGACATATTCTGACCTTCAGTTGAGACGGACAGAATGAGTTGCAGATGAGAACGTGGTTGATGCTTCAACCCGTTGGGAATGTTGGCTTTTAAGCTGACAAAATTGGTGCACAGTATTTAATAGACAGAAGTTCTAGATGCAGCTAAGACATGGAAGGTCTTCAGCTGAACACCTCAGACTGGATCACTGCTTCCAGCTGGCGATATGTTGGCCTCTTCAAACTTCGAATGGTTTGCAGCTGTGAAGCAATTGGAATGAGGATCAGCATCTGAGACAATGTTCTTCATCTGGAAAAGAATGGATTGCCAGTGTTGGGTTTGGGAATAAGCCAGATGGGGGAATTCAAGCACCTTGAGTTCTTGGAAACTGGAATATATAAAGAAAATCCATGCGTGCATGGAAAGGACGTGCAAACTTTACACATAACGGCCCCAGCCAGGTCAACTTTCAAGCTTCTTGATGCAACTGAACAAACCGACCTAAAACAATTACAATCACTCAAGACAACAGCCATGAGAATGACGGACTTGAATTAGCGAGAGTCTTAATAGAATTGCACATCAACACAATAGGTTCAGAGTCTAGAGGAGCCACATAAATTCATTTTAGGAAAATCAAAATGACATGTCTCCAGTCCTGATCATGTTAAATATTTGATCCTTGTTTGTAGTTTTATGTCGACTGAATGCTTTTCACGCACACCTTACCCCTTAATGGTTCTAAAACTCAGATTTAAACCCCAATGGCTTTGGACACATCTAAACTAACACATCATATTAGGCCTAACACTAACCCACCCCCACTTCAGCTACACATGCCTGATTGAGAAGACAGGCTATTGGGCTTTGGTTGGTTCCCTGTAATTAAAGGCTGCATTGTTTAATGTCAGGGTGTGGACACAGATGAGGACTGCTTGTGAGAAGACCTGGGAGATGAAGGGGTGGAATGGGCTCTCTGTGGTTGGCTGAATCAGCGCCTGATGGCAGCTGCTCCACGAGCCTGGCACCCACACAGTCCGCCACTGTGATGTGCTGTGTTGCCAGGGCCAACCAGCACTCGGGTATGGAGGTGGAAACACCAGGCACACCAAACACAAACTCTTTCATCATTTCAAGCGCTGCCTTTCAGCCACCCCCACCACGCTTGTGTTGCTTATTGCACCAGTATTATTGGATTAGTACGGGATTAAGTTTAGTAATTAAAAAGGGCAAATTTAGTTCATGTCATCAGGGAAAATGTTGACGCTACAGTAATCTGGTGGCAAAAACAAAACAATTCCTTTTATAAACTGAAAAACTTTAAAAACTTGTGGTTTTAAATTTACAAGATGTAAGATTTATGTCCTAATAATTCACTCAAATGTGCCATTTCAATTTGATTCAATTTACTTTATCAACAGCAGCTTTAATGATAAATGTGAAACACAAGCAGTTCCATCTGTTGCAACACCTGCATTAATATGTCAGCCACATGGCCATTACAGAACTATAAAACTCTAAGCTTATATTAATGATGAAGACACATTGGTTAATAAAACTGCTTATCTGTATTTATATTGACTTAAATACTTCATAATGAATAGAAAATCATTGAAAGATATTGGTTTTAGGTTGATGCTACATCATGACTTAGGTGCGGTGACATACTGCTTGAGTGGGGATTTCTTTGCTGCAGGATGTTAGGCGTAATTTCTGCATGCTTCACCACCTTTGGCGTAATAACGGGGTTTGGAC